GAAATCATAGGTGAAATAAGTGGTTGATATGCATCTCACTGGAGGGGAATACTTTCTTATGCTTCTCACTGGGGGGGAGGGAGGGGGGTGAATACTTTCTTATGCATCTCATTGGGTAGAATACTTTCTTATGCATCTCATTGGGGGGAATACTTTCTTATGCATTCATTGGAGAGGGGGGATACTTTCTTATGCATCTAAATGGGAGGAGGAATACTTTCTTATGCATCTCATTGGAGGGAAGGGGGGGGGGAGATACTTTCTTATGCCTCTCTCTGGAGGGGGATACTTTCTTATGCATCTCATTGGGGGGGGGGGAATACTTTCTTATGCATCTCATTGGAGGGAAAGGGGGGAATACTTTCTTATGCATCTCTCTGGAGGGGGGAAGACTTTCTTATGCATCTCTCTGGAGGGGGGAAGACTTTCTTATGCATTCATGGGGGGGCGGATACTTTCTTATGCATCTCATTGGAGGGGGGGGGATACTTTCTTATGCATCTCAATGAGGGAATACTTTCTTATGCATCTCACTGGAGGGGGGAATACTTTCTTATGCATCTCAATGAGGGAATACTTTCTTATGCATCTCATTGGAGGGAAGGGGGGGATACTTTCTTATGCATCTCATTGGGGGGGGGGGGGGGGGGAATACTTTCTTATGCATCTCATTGGGGGGGGGGGGATACTTTCTTATGCATCTCATTGGAGGGAAGGGGGGGAATACTTTCTTATGCATCTCATTGGAGGGAAGGGGGGGGGAATACTTTCTTATGCATCTCATTGTATGGGGGGGGGGGATACTTTCTTATGCATCTCATTGGGGGGAGGAATACTTTCTTATGCATCTCATTGGGGGTGGGGGTTTCTCCCTCACCGCAACACACATATATCCACATGTTTGGGGTTGGCTTGGTGGCGTGGTGTGGTTTATGATTACAAAGGGGAGGGAAGTATGGATGGTAGATTAACTTTTGTGTGTGTAATTTTCTTCCGGTTTTTTCGAAAAGAATAAAGTTCATAGAAAATGGTTTCCGTCTAGTTACTAATGATGTAACAAATATTACAGAGGGTATTTAATTAAGTCTTTAGTCTGTAAAGAATTTGTAAAATAATTATTATAATAATTATTATAATTATTATTATAATAATTATTATGGCTAAGATAACATACAAAGTATCCTTACAGAATGTAAAAATGTTGTAGCAGTGCCGTCCACTCTTTGCCTACCAGCGGGTCAGTATTTGGACAGGTTTATGGTAGAGAAAGAACCCTCCCACTCAGTGGCGTAGCGAGGTCGGGTGTCACCCGGTGCGGCACTTAATGGTGTCACCCCCCAGAGGCGCAACGACCCTTCCCGGGGACAAACTTTCAATTTTCGATTTACAACCCCCCTCAAACTTTCAATTTGCACCCCACCCCTCAAACTTTCGATTAGCACCCCCCCCCACCTCTTAAAAGGCTCTTTAACACTCTAATTAATCACTCTATTAAGTGGAATTATCATTTTTCTCTATATATTTTGCTATTTTTTGCCTTGGTGTCACCCCCCTAAATGGTGTCACCCGGTGCGGTCCGCACCCCCCGCACCCCCCTCGCTACGCCCCTGCTCCCACTTACTATTGGGCAGCAGAAACGCCAACATGAGAGAAAAACTGATGTTGTTGACGGCCATAAGCAGAAACCATGGAAACAGAGCTGCGCGATAGACGTGTAGGATGTACCCGACTTTATGCTTCAACAAAAACAGAATCGCTGAGAGGATTGAGATGATGAGACCAACGACGAACCTAGCTAGAAACCAGGAACTCCAGTACACCAGGTGACCTACTCCAAGAATTTGTAGTGACATCTATAAAAAAAAAAAGTTTAACATTCACGATTGTTTTAACATATGCACATTTTAACATTAACAAATATTTTAACAGTTACAATCATTTACAAATGCTTCAATATTTTTAGGCTTCATATTATTATTTTAACAAATATTTTTACAATTACAAAATTAACAAACATGTAACCATTTAGAAATATTTTAATCTCCACAAATAATTTTACATTTACATAGTTTATAAAATTTACACTTATTTTAATATCACTATAATAGTTTCACTATTCTGCCTATTTGTGTCTGGAATGTTCTAGAGAAAACACGAAGAAAAGAAAAAAAATTAACAGTTAAACAGAATGAAACTTCCCAAAGTTACACGAAGAAGAATGACGTCATTGATTCTAGAGTAAATAAATCTAATGCCAAAACACAAAACACATTAATAATGATGTCTTTGATACTCGATAATAGAGACGCAACATTAACGTCTAATTTATTTGTCTAATCTTAATAGTGGCCTGCATGTCGTCACAAGCAACGAGGACAAATTAGTACATTCGAAATGTGCAAAAACTTCTATGGGGGGACAGTGATCGATGGCAAAGGCTACTTGTGTGTCTTGACGCTGTGTTTGTGTGTTGTTGTTTTTTTGTTTTTTTTTTTAATTTTTTTTTTAATTAAATGTATGGGCGGGTGTTAGCAAGCTTGTTATTATGCATGTGTTATATTAATTTTTACTTTCTCGAACAGTGGCGTAGCCAGGATCGTCTCAAGGGGGGGGGGGTCGAATTTTTACCCGGGGACAACATTTTACACCTCCCTCAGTCGGAAAAAACATAGTTTTGCAATATAGTCAGTATGTCTGTGTGTGTATATGTATATGTTTGTGTGTGTGTGTGTGTGTGTGTGTGTGTGTGTGTGTCAGTGAACACAATCACTTGAGTATCATTACAGCTAGATTGTTGAAATTTCATTGATAAATATTATATCAAATTTGTAGTTCTATATCAACTTTTCAGCAATCTCCAATAACCAGAAGTGGAACTTAATCTACTTTTAGTTGTTCAAAATCCTATAACTTGAGTAGGCCTACTGTTTCAGATAGATAAACGAAATTTCACATATTTTTAAATGCTATTGTTGTAAATGTTACATAATTATTTACCAGTATTTCTAGTTTCAGGTATTTTTTAAAGTGAAAAAGAAACAACACATTTTACACAAGTTTAAATGATGTTTTAAACAAATTATAACAAATCGCAAACGGCAATTCGAAAAATGTTCTTAACTGATCAAATTTGTAATTCCCAAACCAAATATATGGAGAAGTAGCAATAGAAATGTATTTCTACAATGGAGCAAAGTGAAACCTACCTTAATAAAGTTAATATTGGTGACCCTCTTCTCGGCGATGAAGATTGTTGTCATGATTGCAAATACGAATAAACCGGGAGTAATCTCCCCTAAACTTTCTCGAATATTCTTATATAAAACAACAACGGATGGGAACTCGGGCTATAGACATGATTTTTAATCCATTTTAAATACTTAAAGTTTTAAAAATAAAATAAAATCTCGTAGACAAAAGAATTGCACACCAAGTGAACGCCAAATTTAAAAAGTGCATAATAGTGCGCAATATTAATAGTACTTTAAAAATTTACATTAGTTTTTTGAGAAATCGAAAGTAGCGTAAATTACTACTTCCGGTCAATGGAAATTACTCAAAATTTAACAGAAGGTAGAGAATTAGATCTTTTACTTACATATGAAATTTCATTTATCTATCTGAAATAGTACTCAAGTTATAGGCTTTTGAAAAATTCAAAGTAGAAAAAGTACCTTTTCCGGTTTAGGAAATGGCTCAAAAGTTGAAACGGGTCTACGATTTTGATAAAATACTTATATATGAAATTTCATCAACCTAGCTGTAACGGTACTCAAGTTATCGTGTTTACACGCGGACAGACAGACAGACACACAGACATACGGACAGAATTGCAAAGCCCAGTTTTTCAGACTGGATTACGCATAAAACCTCTTAATTTTGATAAATCTGGATTGATCATTTTTGCCCGATTAAAATAAGTTCTCTATACTTCGGATGTGATGAAGGACTGAGGTGTAATACGGTGAAAATTGTTAAAATTTCAAGTGATTTTTGTGCACGATTACAATACTTTCTCTATACTTCGTATATACGAGAAAGTAAAAATACATAAGGTACATATTTCCGGTAGTAGTCGTGCATTTTGGTATTGATATACTTCTTCTCGATTTCAGGCATCATCTGTGTTTTAATGGAAATGTGGGTGTTGTGTGTCAGATTTAACTTCACTTTCCAGTACTCCAAGAACATCTTTGCCATGAGAAGTTGGGCGTGTGTTATACCGGTGTAGTCTGAAATTGTAGTTATACAAGTTTATTTTTTGTATGTCTAATACATTTTTTAATTGTGGATTATTATGAACTTATTAGAAAAATAGACAGTTGGGTAGATGAAGCGCATGGCTGCTACAGTCCGAGTTCAAAAGCTTGAGCAGATAAGCCACGATAGCATTAAAGAGCAATCCATGAAAGAGAGATTATTGTCATTTTTAGTACTATAGTACAAGGAATGGGGGATGGAGTGGTCTAGGAGCAGAGAGATAGACTGCTCACAATTTAGTCTTGAGTTCGGATTCAGGTTCCAGTCAGTAGACCTCCCTGAGTCCACCCAACTCTGATGGGTACCTAACTCACGTTAGGTAAAGTAAAGGCGGCTGTGCTTAGTGCTGACCACACCATTACTGCATATGCCGCGGTCACAGAAACAGGTTCACTCTACTTCACCTGCACCACCGTCTATCAGGTTTGGAAGTGGAACTTTACAATACAAGGAAGGGACCAGGGAATGAGAGGAACATTTCAACACCAATAAAAGTACCATTTAATAAAATCTCATGAGTTATTTCCATCAGACCATTACACCAGGTGATATAACTAATCTGCAACATTGAAACATTTATCCTACCTTTATTTTCAGAAAAACTGTTGTTAGCTTTTTGAATTGACTAACTTTTTTTTTTTTAACTTTCATTCTTTAAATTTAAATATAAAATGGAAACTTCAGTATTAATTTATTAAAAAATGTATACAACCTGAGTACTCAAAAGAAAAAAAAAACAAATCAGTGTAAAACAGATTTTATTTACAAATATACAACATAAGCGTAGTTTTATCTTGTAATATAGAGAGATGGTGGACACCTTCAAAAAAAGCAAATTAATTTTACCCCTGAACATTTAGTTTTGATATCTTTAAAGCATTAGTAAGAGCAAAACTTATTTCCAAGTAACAGACCTAATATATAGAGTGCAGACATATTACTAGTGTAAAAATACTGGGTGTATTCTAATTTTACTATTTTTGTTTAAAGCAAAGGTTTTTTTTAAAAAGCTTTGGAAGAAGTTACAATTTAAAAAAGCATGATCTTGAATAGTTTCTGAAAATTGACAGAAAAAAACTATCTAGTGTACACATTTTGAACCCATTCAATGACTAAATAAAGAACACTGTGTTAGAGAATAAGAGAATTGTGGACAGCTGAAGGTAGAGTTTAAACCAAAGCACCTAAATAACCATTGCCTTTGAGTTTATTAGACTTAACTCTAGAGGGTAATGAATCAACCATATAACCTCAATACAAAGTAAACGAGAACTTTACCCCATATGCAACTTCAAACATATTTCACTTTATAAGTAAAACAAAAGTACATTAGAAGCAAATAAAGTAACTATAAATAATCATTTCATTAAGAAAATGCTTTGAAATACAGCATTACATAACCTTAATTTAGCTATATTTAAAAAAAAAAAAATACCAGCAAAATGTTTTTTGTTAAATATTTCTGTCAAAATATATGTATCTTTATCTTGGCTAACTTGATTTAGAACCCATCAGAGCTAGGTGGACTCAGGGATGTTCTACTGACTTGGACCCGGGTTTGACCTCAAGACTTTCGGTGGCTGGTCATAGTGCTGACAACACTATCCCTTTATATGATGAGGCCACAGAATCAGATGCACTCTACTTCACTTGCCCGATAGACTGTCAGGTCCAAAAAGGGAACTTTACTTTTAAAATTATAAATGTATCAATCACTACAATGTAAATAATCTTAAAAAAGCAAACAGTAGTCATATCAAGACATTAAAAAAATGACTTCATCATTATTAAATAAAAAAAAAAGAAAAACTAGACCCATAAAATTTCAAAACACACTGAAGCAGATAAAATTTAAATGTACACAAAGAAAGCATGTGCAAGGGTAGTTAAGTAGAGTTTAACAAAATCCTGCTTTTTCAACAAGGGCTAAAAGAATACTGTTTGCTGTGCTATTTAATTACTATGATGTTTACAATTCTAAAAATATTATAAATGCACATCAGGTGGGTTATTTTATTTTAATTCCTTTTGACAAGTAAAAGAATAGTATTTATTTAAAAACATGAGATGTAGAAATTACTTATACAAAAATACAATGCAAAAAATATGTCATGATTAGATCCTCAATATAAGTTAGTGAGCTAACTCAAGTTCAAAGTGCATGGACAAATGTCAAAGTGACACATAAAGAATAAAACTGTTGTATTCAATTGTTACATCAGTAATCAAAAGTAATCAGCGGAATGGTTTTTATCACGATAAGAAAAAAGTATTTCACAAAATCTACATTTGTTTACTCCTTTCACTTTCTATGAAAATAAATTTGCAAAGTTGAATAAAACTGGTGATTGTTGCGGGAAGGAGATGATAAACTTCTTAAATTAAAGGAACAGATTTATTAAATTCCAAGTGTGCAGTTAAGTCCCTTGTGTCAAGAAAACAATAGCAAGCACCACGCCAACAAGGATGATGAATGGAAGCCAGGTTTTCAGGAACCCACAGAAGCTGGGGGAAGACAATTATTTTATTTCTGTTATAGTGAAAATGGAAAAAAAAAATTAGACTATGATTTATGTTTGAAATATTACTATTATAAAGATATAAAAACATAGAAACATACAACTTTTAATACAGAAAGACACTCAGATATTAAGTCCTATTTTGGAACCTGACAGTCCATGAGGCAAGTATAGAAGAGTTCATCTTACTGTGATCTTGGCATATGAAGGGGTCAGCACTATGACCAGCCATTTTACTTTCCCTAAGTTAGGTACCCATCAGAGATGGGTAGACTCAGGCTGAAATCGAACTCGAGACTGTTGGGTAAGCCGTTTAGGGCTCCCACAGCTATAAATGATAATGTGTTAAGAAACAAAATCTAAAAACTCATTGTGTATTAAGTCTACTTAGGCAAGGAGACATCACAAGACAAGAACTAAACTGTTGAAGGTGGAGAAGACCTAGTATGTGTGAGTCTATATGATAGCCTGGGGTAGAAAAAGAAAATGGATGTTTTCAACATATCACCTACATCTTCAGCCAAACCTACCTCACTTATTTCCAACATTTCAGTTACATTACCTTCAGCCAAACCTACCTAACATATTTCCAACATATCAGCTACATTACATTCAGCCAAACCTACCTGACATACTTCCCATATATCAGCATGTAAAAACACAGCTTGATCATATTCCAGCTACTGCTCCCATTGAAGTTCATCAGGTTCAGGGCCATGGCCACATGGGAATGGCAGTTGTCACAACAAAGATTGTGCTGTGGAAAGGGTTTTTTTAAAATTAACAAGTAATGTTAAATCTTAAAGATTGTGCCGTTGAAATTTTTTAAAAAATTCAACAAGTAACCTTATAGATTTACAGTGTTATGCTTTAGAATTTTTAAACTTTATTTCAACAAGTAATCTTAGAGATTTACAAGATTGTGCTGTAGAAATGTTTTATTTCTCAATAAAACAAGACATCTTAAACAGTGTGCTTCAGAAATCAAGGTCTTCTTTAATTAAAGAAAAAATCTTTCAAATATACTAGACTGCGATGCACAAATAAACTTTTATTAAAATGTTTGAAAAATCTTGTGGGTTTATGAGACATTGCCACAGAAATCATTATTTACATATTATTTTAAAAATCTATCAGATATGCAACAACAACCTACAAAAATAATTTTAAAACATTTCAACAAGAAACGAAAACAAATATATTTCTGCAAATCTTGTTTTAAATATTAAAATTTTGTCTTAAAAGTTCAAACAACTATTCTCACCATTCTGTGCTTGTATTCTTCAGAAGCCTCAGCTATAGATCGATCCCATGAGTCCTTCCCATTTCTTACTCTTGATAGATCCAGCTGCCAATATCTGGATATACATTAAAAATCATTAACGCACATGTAATTTTAAGAATATATTAAACCACTTTAATTTATATATCACACACTTAACAATAAGGTTGTGCAATAGGAGGTGAATTATAAATGCCAATAATTGAAGTTCAGATCCCAAAGATAATCTAGATTTTAAAAGAAAGTAATTATGACATCTCTTAGACACACAAATCTAATGGGTAAGTAAAGGCCCATTACAGTGATTACTACTGGGCTGACCAAACCATCCTTCTACAACTCTGGTCACAGAAACACATGAGCTTAGCCATATCTGTTCTGCTCATTTTGAGATCTAGACATTTTTTACATCACCTTATTTCATCATTATCTTTTTTTTTTCGTTCATGAACAAGAAAGATGAAAAGATGAAGTAGAGTTTATCTGTTTCAATAACTTAGGTAAAGAAGGGGATAGTGTGGTCAACACTTTGCCCAGACGCCTATGTTTCCCTAAGGTAAGTTAGGTACTCATTAGAGCTGGGTGGACTTAAAGAAGTCCTACAGACTTGAGCCCAATACCATGTTTAATTTGTATTAATTATATGAAAGTTTTCTTACTTGACTGGATTCCCAAAAGCCATATCATCTTCCTATTAAAATAAAAGAGACTGATAGTTACATGCTCACATAAGTCACATTTTTTCTTCATAAAATACATACTTGGTGTCACATTTTGTTTAAAAGAAAGTAACTATATAATAAATGAGGTGTAATTCATTATCAGTAAAACTTGATGTTAAAACAGAAAACATGTTTAATAAATAAAAATTGTATTTTTATCTAATAGAGTAAACTTCTACAATGTAGATGAAACTGACACTCACAGAAACATAGTAGGGTCCAGCAAAGTCTCTAATGATACCAGAGGTGGTGCATATCCCCATATGTCCGATGATAGGCAACAGCCAGCTAGAAAGAGAATTATCATAATTAATTTAAAATATTTTCTTTGATCTTTTTAAAGGAGTTGGATATTGAGGAAGTATATAGAAGTTTAACATCAGTTTAGGGGTATAGTGGTCTGGTCGGTAAAGCTAATCGTTGCTAAACTGAAAAGTCCAGAGTTTGAACCCCGGGTCTTTGAAGCTCGATAGCAAATCCAAACTGAAAAGCAGGCTGAAATACGGGTCAATGGCATATATGGCACATAACATGTTGACACAAAATATTTAATTCTGCTGAAGCAAATACCATCCAACGCTACAATTTAAGAACAAAGAAAAAGATCAAGTTTAACATCAGTGTTCTGCTCTAAAGAATTAACTAAATGGAAATTAAAGGAAATACAATTCTTAATTATTATTATTCTTTTATTCACAGCTTATGAGTTTAAAAAATATTTCGTAATGGAATAGATTTCAGTTGAAGAAAACTCAGTCAAGAGAAAAAAATCATTTCCAATATCCATTTCTGGTGGATTTCATATACACCAGAGTCTGATAATGACACAATAATAGAATCTTCTGAAGAAAGATGTGTTAGGGGTCATTCATAAATGACATCACACTTTTTTAAAATGATTTTTACCTCCCCCCCCTCCCCTCATCAAAAAAAGGCCAGACCCCCACCCTTAAAATAGTTGAACACCTCAGCCTACAACTCCCCCTCCAAATTGAAATTAAATTTTTCTTAAAATATGATATTTTTCCAAAATTGTGTCTGAACTCTGTCAACATAGAGTATTTTATTTAATACCTATTAGGCCTATAATTTATTATTATTTATTAAAACGGCTTTCTAAAACTTTAAATAAGAGCTCAAATTTGTTTTTGAACATTGCTTTTTTGTAAAGCAAAAGGTGTGATGTCACAACATCTGAACCTCCCCCCCCCTCCCTACACACTGTCACAAAATTTTAGAACCCCCTCTCCCCTACGAGTATCACAGACGAACCCCTAGGCTACTGTTAGTTAATAGGCCTATGTAGTTAACTAAAGACACCCTTTGCCCTGCTAATGTAAATGCTAACACAAACCTAGTCCTACACCATGCCATACACCTCCTTTTTAACCATAACCTCATAGCTCATACCATAGCTGTGAGTGACAAAAAAATTTAAAATTCAATAATTTAGTCTAAAACTCGCAACAACTCCCAAAATTAGTGCCTAGTGGATAAAGTATGGACATTTTTAATTCAGTTGTCATGTTTAAGTTGAAAATTGAGTAGATTTCAAATTTAGTAAGAAAAACTAATAAGTAGATCTAGATATCTAGACTCTAGATCTAAGTATTACTAACAACTTATTTAATACTTAAATAATTGGGTAAAATCACGATATAGCGTCGGTTATTATTCCGGAACTGTACAGCAGTAAAAAACAGTAAAACCATGGCGTAGTCTGTCGAGCCGTTCCGGAAACCACCGGAAATACTGTAAACCATCATTTATTTGCCGCCATATTATTTTTAATACATAATGTTTAAAAATGTGCAAGGATTGATTTTAGTTGCATTTTAAATACTGTTTTGCTAATTATTTTGTATTTCTAATTATTTTAAGTGTATGTGCTAATTTTTGCTGCTACTAAACATTATTCTAGTTATTCTTACTACTTTTAACTTTAGTTAATCTAATCGTCTTATTTACTAACAGAACAAGAGCTGGTTGTCGCAAATCTTCTGCAGGTTTTTTCTGTTTCTTAAAAAAAAAAAATTAATTACTACACTCGAGTTTATTAATAATATTTAGATTTTCTATCTGTTATTAATTTTCTGTCAATTAAACTGTAAATTAAGTTAAAACATTAATTTAATGCACTTGACTTTATTTTTATTTCACCGGTCAAATAAACTATGGTTTACAGTAACGAATGTTACCGAAACTCAACGAACATTACCCAATAATTTCCGACGCTATATCGTGATTTTACCAATAATTGGATGAGATTGCACAACAAGCAACTTAGTAACAGTAGGCCTACACACATATTATTTTAGGAAGAGTCTCAGTCTAGATCTGTATACTCAATAATCCGAATTACTTATACAACTAAAACAGTGAATTCTCGTAAATTTGAATTTAAATAGGATACTGAATACTTAACTATAGTAATTAAATTGAAAGGGCTAGAAAGATTATCGATATTAGGTTATTTGTAAACATTGTAGGATTCTAGTAACGAACAAGTATTCTGAAGCAAAATTACGTTAAGCATGGAATGGGAGTCCAGACAATGCAGTGTGGAAATCTGTTTTGCTTGGGATCTATCCTCAGGCTACAAAGATTTATTTCACTTCCCATTCCTACAGATGAACGCTCAGAATGAGTTCTTTCAGCTTCTAAATCGTTCATGATGATTTTCAGTATGTAACCATTTTCTTCTGCTCTTGCTCTTCCGTTGCGGTGGTAATTTCCCAGGGGAAATAACTCTGTATATTAGAATAAATATAGTGCAAACGTGTGATTGTTCTTGCTGACTCCAGATCTATATTTCGAAAACTTAAATAATACAAAAAAAAAAAAAAAAAAAAAAAAATTAAGGTTCTATTACTCAAAATAGATTAGATACTTTGAGCGAACGACAATGGTATAATTGATTAATGGCATAACTGTCATATGTATATAATTAATTGTAGATCCGTAATTTCAATAAATCGACACTTTTATCTTTACAATGAATTTATTCAGAGTTTTTTATGAATTTCTAATGATGTCTTCATTCCTTTTTTTTTTCTTTTTCCTTAAGACACATTTATAGGCCATTATTTGTTTGTCATTGTTTTGTAGCTTATGATCTAATAATAACATTAGTTATTACATTTTCAATTATTTGTGTGTATTTTAATACTTATATTAATAATAATGCTTTTAAGTATGCCTATGGTTTATACATTTTAATGATTGTCCGATTTTTCCATGTGGGATGACTTGACTTGACTTTGACTTAGTCCTCTTTGCTCCTTATGGAACATAGGGCCTCCACCATTTCCTTCCATTTCTTCCTATCCCCGGCTATTAATTTTGACATCTCCCAAGACATCCCTGTTGGCTCCAGGTCTGTCTTGGGCGCCCTCTTTTCCGCTTTCCCTGGGGGTTCCACTCAAGCGCTTGGCGTGTAACATTTGGGTGAGCCTTTCGCAGTGTGTGACCCACCCAGCGCCACTTCCTCCTCCTTATTTGCACACCCAATGGCTCCTGCCTAGCTTTCCTCCATAGTTCTATGTTCGATGTGGGATGACGGGGTGAGGTAACATCGTTTTAAAAATGGTTTATAAAAGCATGGCGTCTTCTATGGACGACCCCTAAAGCTAATTTAAAAAAAAATAATTTCTGTAACAATTTCAATGACCTTGTCTTATCGCCAATATCACAACTCTCCATTCACATAAAACAACCTTCCCTAATCAACAAACTATAACCCGCATTTACGAACTGAAACAGTTACTGCAGTCCTTAAAAAAAATCGTTATATCTTTTAACCCTATTGACCTAGTTAGATAAATAAGGAAGATTGTTCATGGTTATTATAGTAAAACCACATTAGTAAGCGCAAGCCTGTGTAAAGATGCGTACCCCATACTGATAGCCAGATCGTGGACTCTAACCTAATAAGTAATATAAGGTAAGCGATACGAAACAAGTGTTGTGATATTTTACACCAGTACGGTGAATAGTTATATAAGAGCGTTTATAATAGGGTTTGTAAGTCTCGTTCTCTCTCGCTTAAAATTGTAAATCTTGTTAGCCAGGGAGAGACATAAATGTTTGAACTAAATTAATTGTTGTGAACATTGTTACTATTGATTTTAAAAAATACACATGGCTGCAATACCTCTTCAAAAATCCAAGAGTACCTAAAATGCAACATTTCTAATCATGATACTAATAAATAATAGAGTCAGATTTTCACATTGGCTTTGAAAAACACTCTCTGGCAAGTACGAAAACGACAAGTTGGTGACCAGCTTACTAACCCTAATGATAGTCTAGCGCAGGGGTCTCCAAACTTTTCAGTCCGAGGGCCGCATTAACTATCAAATTTCAGTTTGGGGGCCAGTTTCTTCCTTGCATGTCTTTGGTTTTTCTGGGCAAAAGTTCCTCAGCCATCACCAACAAACGATTTTTCCTAGGACAAAAAGATTTCAGCGGGCCGGATGAGAGGACTTCGCGGGCCGCATCCGGCCCGCGGGCCGTAGTTTGGAGACCCCTGGTCTAGCGTGTCGCAATGAGTCAGTGCGCCGTGTTTAACGTGAAGGTTATGTGTTACGGTTAACTGACTACACAGCCAAGCAAATCTGTGTCAAGGAATACCGCACTACAAAAAAATGTTCATTCATGATTTCATTTCGGCTGCTCAACTTAATCTTTTTATTTGAAGTTTATTTTCTTTATAGTGCCTTACTAGGCTTATACATTTTACTGTTATAGTTTGTGTAAGAACAAGGGTAATGCTTTGATTATTTTAAAGTTATGTAGGCCTTCTCTTCAGATTTAACTCAGGGGGTAGAGCTAGCTGTTTTTACAGTTTTTTGAGCAGTTCCCAACAAGCAATAGAATTTACAAGGCAAGAATCGATATCTATGACAGCTTAGCAGAGGCGTAGCGACCCCTCCCGGCGCCCGGGGACAAACTTTCGATTTGCGCCCCCCCCCCTCGAACTTTTCATTTGCACCCCTCCCTCAAACTTTCGATTTGCACCCCCCCCCCCCCTCGAACTTTTCATTTGCACCCCTCTCTCAAACTTTCGATTTGCACCCACCCTAAGGTCGGCGCCCGGGGACATATGTACCCCGCCCCCCCCCCCTCGCTACGCCTCTGACAATACATGACGTAGTGTGCTAATACAACCACAGAGCCCCCTAAGCAGCGAAAGCTATAAAAAAATGCAACAATATATATTTTTAAGGATGGTACAATCTAGAGCAAGCCCATTCATCCCTTTGGCTCTACATCTCGTAGAGGGCTTTGACTCTGATCCACCGCCATATTCTACTCAGACTTGTCTGCTGGCTTTTTTTTTGGTCACATCTAGACGCCAAGCAACCGTAGGTCTGTCTCCACGTCATCACGCCGTCTCAGCCAACGCCTTCTAGAGCATGTCATGTCTTCTAAGTAGGTTACCACAGAGGCGTAGCGATCCTTCCCGGCGCCCTGGGACAAACTTTCGATTTGCACCCCCTCCCCCCTCAAACTTTCGATTTGCATCCCCCCCCCCCAAACTTTCGATTTGTTTTTCCAACCCATTTTGGCGCCCCCTAAGGTCGGCGCCCGGGGACATATGTCCCACCCTTCTCGATACGCCTCTGGGTTACCAAGTTACTGCCCGTCTACCCTAGTAAAAGATTTCAAACTTCATAAGCCTTTTCTTCTCCCCCCCCCCCCCCCACCTTCCACTCATCCAATCCTTTGTCAGCTTTCTAATTTCCACACAACGTAAACTATCGTGTGAACACTCCCATCTCCTTGTCTTAAATACAAAAAATCTAGAAGGGAAAATGTTTAATGACCAAACATTTACCTGCGCTTGTGTAGTCCTTTAATAATGAAATTGGCCAACACAAACAGGATGTAAACAGTGCTTAACATATAGATCATAGATACTTTCTTGTTTAAAACATCATACGATTATTGTGAAGGTGTATAGAAAAGTCTAGTAGTCTGTGAGCCCGTACTTTAAGATAAAAAGGAAGTTCTGTATATAAAAAATAACTTTATAAGGACGTATAATTAATCAGACACTTCAACACGTGAGTATTCAAAATTTGGAGCAAATTTTATTTTATTTTTGTAAGATGTGAACTGTCAAATAAAGGCCCCTAATTAATAATTATATAATGTAGTCATACAACATAAGGTTCGAAATTTAAAAACACTGAGGTGCGTTTTTTTTTTTTAAATTCACTTTATAAAAGCGCCCGAAAATATTTTTTATATGTAGTTTTTTTTTACCATAATTTGTTGTTTTGTTTATTGTTTCACTAAGGGTTGTCCGTCTATAAATTAAGGGATCTTCCATAAATGACGTCACGCTTTTTTGGACGATTTTTACCTTCCCCTCCCCTCCGTCACACATTGTCACAAAAAACTAGACCCCCCCCCCACCTAAAATGACGTCCCACCTCAAACCCCCTCAAAATTGCAGGGTTTTTTTTTCGTAAAAAATCGATATTTTTCCAAAATCTTGTCAGAACTCTGTCATGATAGAGTATTTTCAATCAATTCCTATTACAATTTATTAAAACAGTTTTTCTAAAACGCGAAAAAAAAAAAAACGTTTAAAATTTGTTCTCTAACATTGCTCTTTTATAATGCAAAAGTGTCGCATCACACCATCTGAACCCCCACCCCTTCCCCTCATCACACACCGTCACAAAATTACGGACCTCCTCCCCCCTACGAGTGTGAAATTTTTACTTCTAGATCAGGGGTCTCCAAACTTTTTAGTCCGAGGGCCGCATTAACTATCAAATTTCAGTTCGGGGGCCAGTTTCTTCCATGCATGTCTTTGATTTTTTCTGGCCAAAGTTCCTTAGCTATCACCAACAAACGATTTTTCCTTGGACAAAAAGATCTCCGCGGGCCGGATGAGAGGACTTCGAGGGCCGCATCCGGCCCGCGGGCCGTAGTTTGGAGACCCCTGTTCTAGATGATGAGGAATAAGAAAATGGATGCAAGGACAAAACACAACGGACTGTTAATATTCCTGCGTTAAACTCTGTGTAAAAAAGAAAAACCAATTGTGTACACGAATAGAAATAATTATCCAACGACTGGCATTTTGTGTAAAGCGTAAGTGCATAATAATAATGTTGGGGGGGGGGGGGGCATTTAAAACTTTCAGGTGGGGAGGAGCATAGAGTAGGCCTTCACATATAGATTTTCTATATATTTTTCAATTTCGTCCGAGGGAGGGGACGGTGGACATGCTCGGTTGTTCTCTCCTAGGGTCACCCCTCCCCCTCCCTAGAGTGATACGTGAAAGAAATTATGTAAGCGGGCGGGTTCAAATTGTCCTATTTTGCCATAATTTTATGCCGTCAACAACACTCAACATGGAAAACAAGAAGATCCACGCGAAGATAGCGATGGATGAAATCCGCACCCTATGTCACACACCGGTTAAACATGGGTCAATCTAATCCGACTAGTTTTGTACTAGGTGAACTGATTGGTTAATTGTTTTCACGGTCGTTTGTAGCTCGTTTCTCCAGTCTAATCAGCATATTGTGACAATGCGATGAGTTGTCTAACCTGAAATGTGAGTTGTCTAACCTGAAACATGAGTTGTCTAACCTGTAGAAGAGTTGTTTAACATAGTAGTGGGGGGAAATCGTGTCCAAACATTTGTCACATTCCAAAACTTTCACCCACTCCCCTCCCCCACCCACAATGTTTAAACACGACAGCAACATTCACATGAGCTCTAACTCTAAATCCATCTTCAATGTAGAGTTCAGAGCTTTAGCATTACTAACAACAAAGACTGTTGTTCTTTCAAAACCAGCTAGGCTATTTTATAAGCTTTGTGTTTCTTTTAGAGTTTTATTGAACAACAACTGAATGAATTAAAGATTAAACTTTTATTACGGGAGAGAACATGTAAATTCTTTGTCATGCCTCACAGCCGGAGGGTACAACTTTTGGGACAGATTAGTTATCTTTCTCCAATCCCAAAAAATCTTGTAACAAATATGTAAATTTCTCAAAATCGTCTGAATCATATCATGTCAAACCAATCACAGTTAACTGCAGTTTTTCATGTTTTTTAGGGGCAAAAAAGCGCAGCCTACTTCAGTATTTCCATGTGTGGGGACTGGGGGCTAGGGGGGTAGTTTATTACGGCAGTATTTAAAGGCAATATGATTATGAAGCGTGACATGGGGCGGCGTGGCCTAGCGGTAGAAAGCTAGACTGCTAACCCGAGAAGTCTCGAGTCCGGGTTCAAGTCAGTAGAACGTTCCTAAGTCTGATAGTTACCTAACTCACGTCAGGGAACTTTCAATCTTCATCTTCCCTGATGAGGATGCGAGTTCGTCGCCAATAAAATATCTCCAAGTTATGCTGTTCATACGCCTATTTCCTCAGCACACTTACTAAACTTTTCCAGATCTAGTTTTATAGCGCGATAGTCAGTTGTTTCCAAATGTTTCACATAAATTCACATATTATTTTGTCATTAATAGTAAGTTTCCTTTTCGAATATGCCGATCCATAGGTCACCCCTGCTGGGGTATGGGCCGCCTACCAAAGATCTCCAGAGTCCTCTGTCCTGTGCCATTTTGTCAATGATCCATGGGGCAAATAAGTAAAATTTCAACTTTTTCTGTGACTCATAGCCTTTCCTTTAATTTCCCTAACGTGAGTCAGGTACCCATTAGAGTTGAATGGACTCAATTACGTTCTCTTGACACGAACCAGAATCCGACCTCGGGACTTTCGTGTTAGCAATCGTGCGCTCTGTTATCCAACCACTCGGTCCCATTTTTTATGTCTTCTTATACACTGTTTAAAAATTACATTTGCACCGGACCAGATATCCTATCCCTATCCCATGGCCAGAGTTTGCTGTCTCCTGATTGTCATAAATGTTTGACCAAGGATGGTATGATCCTTTAATGATTAAATCACTAAGGATTATAGTTATACAAATAAATACAAACACATATGTAAAATAAAAAATAAATAAATCAAGGCTTAGGCCCTACTTAATATTATTATGGGATGAATGCATGTGGGGAGGTAAGAAGAACATTTTTTCAAAAGTGGCGCAATGACTATGACAACATGTCGTTTCTCAATAATCACCTTTTTTAAGTTTCAAGTAATACACATGTTAAATGGGGACAGCACAGAGATTGCTTGCCCTAAGTCATAACAGTTCTACTTGAAAGTAGTGTTTTGAAACAATGTTAGCCATCTGAGACAGTATACTCCTTGTTCCTTCTTTATTTTTCTCACATCACAGTAGATTATTCTAAGAATAGGCTTCATACGTGTCACCAAGAATGCTTTGATATTAGTGGTTCTAAAATTTGAATTGATTTGACTCTATGTTATTATCGTCTGTTGATTGTTACATAAATAACATATTTTTTCATTGAAAATAATCAGTTTTAGTAAGATGGAATTTAAAAAAAAAATCTGTTCTGTTTTTTTAGACTATATTATATACATGTGTCAACTTTTGGCGTTGAAATAACTTTGTCATAACAACACCTGATTCTAACCTCTCTTCCTTAAAATAGTATTTTGGCTAACGTAAAGTATATAGGGCCTACATATTTCTAATACTTAATCTATAAACTTATAAATAATACTAAAAAATAATATACTAAAATCCCCAGCGTTAGTTCCATCAAATACAAATTTTAGAACCCCTGTTTCTAATAGATTCTATATCCTGCATGGTATATTACACAGGTAACAAAAAAAAGCTTTAATCCTATTGTTACGGTCCATAGAACACGGAAGCAAGCGCTGTATGTCGGGTCTAAAAATAAAGAAATAGATATTTGTTTTGTTTTAATTGAAGTCGAAGTTTTTACGTGTGTCATAAAATCGTGTCACGGGTTATCTGACAAGAAGAAGATATTAAAACTGTGGCGTGTTATGGTTGGGTGTGTGTCTTAAGTTTATGACTAAGATGGGGGAGGGGTGGGAGGTTGTTAACTTGTTATGGGGGGGGGGGAGTGTAGAGAGAAGTATTTTTGTGACGTTGCTAAAAATAGTCGATCTCGCGCGTGGTCGAGATGGCATCAGTGACGCATAAATAGTTGACACGTACTTAATTGTGGTTGAAGGAGATCCCTTCCAACACTAAAATTAAGAACAAAGAAGAAGAAGACATATTGATTTACAACATTTTTAATAAGATGCTTAGATTAAAGAACAATATTGTATTTTTCAAATGAGAAGTTCTATATAATTTATTCGTAATATAGCATATAACATAAATAGTATAGACTATTTACAAAGTCACGCACTCATATCATATGGACAAAAAAAACCACATTCTTTACCCTCCACCTCACCCCCTCCCAACCTCCCGTTGTAACGTTATATTTACATAATTCACCATCGACAAAAAAAACAACAACATGCAGAACCTCAACCAACACAAACAACGAACAAACCGGGTGACACCATTTAGGGGGGTGACACCAAGGCAAAAAATAGTAAAATATATAGAGAAAAACTGAGGGGGTGGGGGGGTGCTATTCGAAATTTCGAGGGGGGGGGGGGTGTGCAAATCAAAAGTTTGAGGGGGGGGGGTGCAAATCGAAAATTTGAGGGGGGGGGGTGTCACCATTAAGTGCCGCACCGGGTGACACCCGACCTCGCTACGCCACTGACCCAGTGAACTACGTAAAGTTTGGGACATTTTTATTACATAACTGTTATTGGTGCTACTCATAGACTTAGATACAAATTTTGACGCCCGGGGGGGGGGGGGAAGGACTAACAAGTTCTACACCCCCACCCCATGTAGATGAAGTTACTCTTGTTGGCGAAAAAAGCGTCTATTTCACCACCCCCTCTCCCCCCATTTGGAAAGGTATGGCGCTATTTACCAATCACTGTACGTCAGTAAATTTTTATTTGGTGTCACACCAATTGATGTTGAAAATAGTCAAAGAATTCCTTAAAGCCATGTAGCAGTCTGTATCCTTATCCTCGACTGTGTATAATTCATTCATACGGCCCGAAAAAACTGCATTTAATATTTGTTTTTCTATTCCGTTGGGCGCGCCCTAGGGTCGGCGCCCCACCCATCCTCCCCCGCGTGCTACTGCTCATGGCATATTTTTAAATAATTAAAATTTAGTCCCTGCAAGTTTCAGCATCCCATGTGTATTACACGTTATGTTAAACAATCCCAACGTAGGGTAAAAGTAAACAATTTGAAGTACGAATTAAAGAAAATGATTTAAGGGTCGTCCATAAATGACGTCACACTCGTAGGGGGAGGGGGGTCCGTAATTTTGTGACGGTGTGTGATGAGGGGGAGGGGGGGGGAGGTTTCAGATGGTGCGACGTCACACTTTTGCATTATAAAAAAACAATATTAAAAAACGAATTTTAGACGTTATTTTGCGTTTTAGAAAACTGTTTTTAATAAATTGTAATAGGAATTAATTAAAATTACACTATTTTGACAGAGTTCAGACAAGATTTTTAGAAAAAATATCGATGTTTTAAAACAAAATTTAACTGCAATTTTGAGGGTGGGGGGGTTGTAGTCTGAGGTGTGACGTCATTTTAGGGGGGGGTCTGGCTTTTTGTGACGACGTGTGACGGAGGGGGGGGGAGGTAAAAATCGTCCAAAAAGCGTGACGTCATTTTTGGATGACCCCCTTACATAGTTTCAGAGGGGCGTAGCGACCCTTCCCGGCGCCCGGGGACAAACTTTTCGATTTGCACCCCCCCCTCGAGATTTCGATTTGCACCCACCCTCAAACTTTCGATTTTGCACCCCCCACCCCCCCTCAAGATTTTGATTTGCACCCCCCTTCAGACTTTCGGTTTGCACCCCCCCCCCCCTCGAGATTTCGATTTGCACCCCCCCCTTTCAAACTATCGATTTGCACCCCCCTCAACCTTTCAATATATTTTTCCAACCCATTTTGGCGCCCCCTAAGATCGGCGCCCGGGGACATATGTCCCCCCGCCCCCCCCCCCCCCCCCCCCCTCACTACGCTACTGCAGCTTAGAGTGGGGTTACGTCAAATACACACCATAAAAACAGTAGTACCCGCTTTGTTTAATTGTGAGAATGCTATCTAAATAAGCATTACATGTACATAGTAGGAAGGCTTATTTAATGTATCTACAGTTTTGTTAAAAAATGTGTATATACAGTCTGGGAAATGGGTTTGCATGTAATCATGCCATATGATTTAGTTGAACATTACATGAGAATGGGCTTATATCTCAAATCTCAACAGTCTATTACAACCCAAGAAAAACATACACATTTTTTAATTCTTTGAACTTTTTTTTTGTTTTACAATGTTACCATCGTTTGTTTTAGCTTACATTGACACACATGTAATATTTCGAACCAGGAAATTCATTTGTTTAAAAAAAAAACTTGTGATTATGGTTTTTTTTTTGTTTTTTTTTTGGACGTTTACTGATCGTTTATCTAACTACGACCAGTGTTTCTTCCAGACTTTATTTTTTTTTTGGGGGGGGGGGGGGGGGGGGGGGCACTTGTAATTTTTGGGGGTGTACTAAAATTTCGGGGGAGGGGCGGACACTGGTAAGGCTATATATTTTCTCTATAAATTAATTTCGTGTAATAAGCGGGGGGGGGGGGGGGGGGGGGCGGTAGACGTTCTTACGGAGGAGGGTGGGGGGACGGAGATGCCTGAAAGAAACTATGACTATGGCATTCTGGAATTTAGGAAGGTTGTGTAGTACGCATATCATAGATCTAAATAGGTGGTAAAAAAAAATACTTCGCGGAGCAAAATTGAGATCAATAGAATCCTTCTACAAAAGGTAAATGTCGAACAATAAAAATGATGACGTTACACTCCAAGGATGGGGTAGCGAAGTTCGCATTTTGTGACGTTTTGTGACGAGAGTGAGGGGTGGGGAGTGTAACATCACACTTCTGCATTCTAAAAAGTAATGTCTTTAAAAGTGAACGTTATGAGTTTTTAAACATATTTATGTAAACCAAATACATGTTGATCAATTTATCTTTTATATTTTATAATTATAATTAATATTTTAGACAGAAATACAGTTTAAAAAAAAAATTAAATCTTGAGGTTGACCATTCCAATGTGTTTTATTTTTTTTAGCATCAAACCACAACACCCTTGCGAAGAAACAAGAACTGATTAGTAACCAAGTTAGTAAGGAGAATTGAAGATGTTGTTGCTGTATGTGGCTATAGCTGTTGTGACGTTTGTTGTGGTGAGGTACGTGAGGAGAAACATTCAGTACAGGAAACTGTTTTTTCAGCTACCCATAGCAGCGGATTATAGGTATACTACGGGAACATTGCACGCAGTAAGTTGTGTAGGGAACATTGCATGGTGTAAGTAGTGTAGGGAACATTGCACTGTATAAGTAGTGTACGGAACATTTTGCAATGTATAAGTAATGTAGAGAACATTGCACTGTATAAGTAGTGTAGGAAACATTGCATTGTATAAGTAGTGTAGGGAACATTGTACGCTGTAAGTAGTGTAGGGAACATTGTACGCTGTAAGTAGTGTAGGGAACATTACATGGTGTAAGTAGTGTAGGGAACATTGTACGCTGTAATTAGTGTTGGGAACATTGCATGGTGTAAGTAGTTGAGGGAACATTACATGGTGTAAGTAGTGTAGGGAACATTGTACGCTGTAATTAGTGTAGGAAACATTGTATGGTGTAAGTAGTGTAGGGAACCTTACATGGTGTAAGTAATGGAGGGAACATTGCGCGGTGTAAGTAGTGTAGGGAACATTGCACGGTGTAAGTAATGGAGGGAACATTGCAAGGTGTAAGTAGTGTAGGGAACATTGTACGCTGTAATTAGTGTAGGGAACATTGTATGGTGTAAGTAGTTGAGGGAACATTACATGGTGTAAGTAGTGTAGGGAACATTGTACGCTGTAATTAGTGTAGGAAACATTGTATGGTGTAAGTAGTGTAGGGAACCTTACATGGTGTAAGTAATGGAGGGAACATTGCGCGGTGTAAGTAGTGTAGGGAACATTGCACGGTATAAGTAATGGAGGGAACATTGCAAGGTGTAAGTAGTGTAGGGAACATTGTCTGTTGTAAGTAGTGTAAGGAAACTATCAGTTCAATCGCCGAAGTCATGGACGCAGGTACCATTTCTCAGCTGTCATATTGTAAATTCTATTTTTCAAAACGTATAGAAGAGCATTTGATATTGTGTAAACAGTGTATGGTATGTTTACAAAGTGTAAGTCCTACAGGGGACATGCATATATATACCAGTTGTCCAATAACGATATAAAGCTGATGTAATGATGATGTCAACAGTTCCCGGGGAACAATGAGGAGGGCATGGCGTTCAACTTCGTGAAGGCACAGAAAAACTGTTACTGTCATGTGGAGTGGATTGGACCAGTAACGCCAGTAATCGTGGCCTACCATCCAGAATCGATACGGCCCATACTAAAATCATCAGGTAAGTCTGATAAGCTGATTTTCTTAAGCATATAATAAAAATTAATATTATCCATAATCGAAACTGCCCATATGGAAATCGTTGTCTTTATTTTGTAATTTTCATCGCACATCTTCTTCCTTCTCCATGCTCACTCCTTGTCATCGGGTATAATACCATCCCACTCACCACACCCCCCTCATCACACATCCTTCCTTCTCACCCCACATTCTCCCCACTCATCACACATCACGCCAACACTCACCACACATCCTACCCCACAACACACACCCTCCCCCCTCATCACACATCTTGCTCACTCATCACGCATCCTACCCCCCTCCCCATACAATCACACACCCTCCCATACTCCCATTTATTCCCCCCCCACAGCGGCCAAGTCACGTGGTTCCATCCTGTCCACGCCCTACGACATGGGCTTACGCTGGCTAGGCGAGGGCTTGCTGATCTCCAACGGCGGGAAATGGGCGAGAAGTCGTCGTCTGCTGACCCCCGCCTTCCATTTCGACATTCTCAAACAGTATGTGGACATTTACAACACGTGCGCTGACATTATGCTCGTGAGTTATCACATTCAAATAATAATACTAATAAAAAAAGACGCAAGCCTATACAAAATTAATTAATTTGAAAAATAATTAATTTAAAATGATTCTTAAAAATTATTTTTAGAATTTAATTGAAACATTATTCACCACATAGGCCTGCATCTATATAAACATTTGCTTTATAATTACCATTAGTTTCGTTTGCAATGTGAGATATAAACATCCTAATAAAGAGCCCAGAATATTTTGTTACGTGATTATTTTTCTTCTACGCTATTTTGCATGAGGTAAAGCTTAACTTTTTCAGTAACCTTGGGATAAAAAGGGATAGTGTGGTCAGTTCTAAGACTAATCAATTCTACATTCACTAACGTGAGTCCTGTACCCATCAGAACCGAGGTGACTCCATGTTTCACTGACCTCGGGATCCGAACTCGAGACCTTCTGTTTGGCTTCGTGTTTCATTCTTGTCTTAATTTTGATCGGAAAAATCTATGAACACCGAATAACTTCTCTGTTAACAACTAATTTAAGAAAAGAAAGAGCTGACCCGCGACGTAGCATACGCTGCTAAATAGCCTAGTTGTTTTATTTTCTACTTATCAGCAGTTCATAATTTGTGAATTCGAGACTACCCCACCCCCTGTCTCCCCTACTCCCCCCACCCCACCCCACCCAGTGAAAGCAACCGTTAACAGAAGACAATGAAAATATCAAGCAGAACTTATCTTCCCTTAGTTTCAAATCGTTTAAAAACAAAATTATCCGCCCCTAATTGCCGTATCTTATTCGAACCGGCTCTACTATTGTAAACATTCGGAGTGAACCATAGCTCATCTGACAGGTGGGGATGAGGGTGGTGGCTAAGCTGCTTGGTGTCTCGTATGGTCCCCATGAAGAGAACTATATATATAGAAGAAGATAGGTATACAACTTAAAATTTCTTTCTTAATTCATAGTCCAAGTCTCACTGGAACGGGTTAAATAATAATTTTAGGCGGTAACCACAATTACCCAAATTTAAGGTAGGAAATGTATAACAACTAACTTTATTTTTTTTTAGAACAAAATGCAAAAATTGTCCAAGAAAAAAGAACCGTTTGACATCTACTCACTCATCAACTTGGATGCTCTTGACGTCATCCTGAGATGTGCGTTTTCTTACCAGTCCAATTGTCAGCTTGATGAGTGAGTACAGTGTTACTGCTGGGAGTGTGTTTGAGCATGTTGGCATTTAGATGTGATGTTTTAATGGATTATTTTGTATTGCATTTGTATACAGGTCAGTGAACTCATATTCCGCCGCTATAGGAGAACTACAGGCTTTATGGGCAGACAGGGCAATGTAAGTAATTTAGAAAATTTACAATAAATATTTCTAAGTGCAATAACTTTTATCTCACATACGCAAAATGATTATTAAACCTCGCTTCAAACGTTTAATAATATTCAAAATCCATTAATATGAAGCTCTCAACTCCAATAAAACTTTCTTATAGCACCATCTTTTGGGAAAGATCGCAATTGGAAGAAAACTTCTTTAGTCTGCAAGTGTCCCACTATCGTCCCACCCAACAAAAGCCAATTAATTTGACGCACTATTGCTTTACTTTCGACACCACTAAAGCACATTTGTTTTGATACCACCCAACTATCGTCCGCCATTTAGAATGCATTTGCCTCAAACTTTCAAAAGCTCACACAGTTGCCCTTCTGACGCCAACATAAGCTCCCTTTGTCCTTCATTTCCTATACTCTTATTCCCAGAAAGGGACTTTACCATTCTAATGCCTACTATCACACACACAGAACCTTTTGCGTTAATATTACCCTACTGGCGTTGACAGAAAGCCCTTTTGTCCAAATATTCCCGACTCTTCCATCTCAATCCTCCCTTCCGCCCACGGAAGCCAATTTCCCTTACTATAACCAGTTTTAGCACAGAAAACCCCCTTGAGTTACTATAATTATAATGTAAGTCACAGAAAGCCCCTTTGAAATACTATAATCCTGTATTATTAAGCCAGTCTCAACTATCCCCCTGCTATCTCCCTCATCTATGGAAGCCCATCTGCCTCACTATAGCCGTATTCTCTCCCCTAGAAAGTCAGTCTCAACTCTCCCCTGCTATCTCCCTCATCTATGGAAGCCCATCTGCCTCACTATAGCCGTATTCTCTCCCCTAGAAAGTCAGTCTCAACTCTCCCCTGCTATTTCTCCCATATATGGAAACCCATCCGCCTCACTATAGCCGTATTTTCTCCCCCAGAAAAACAGTCTCAACTATCCCCTGCTATCTCTCCCATCTATAGAAGCCCATCCGCCACACTATAGCCGTATTTTCTCTTATCTATGGAAGCCCATCCGCCTCACTATAGCCGTATTTTCTCCCATCTATGGAAGCCCATCCGCCTCACTATCTCTATATATAATTCTCCTCTTCGAGCCGTTAGAAAACAAGCTGCAAACGCTCTCCCTACCTCCCCACCCCTACATGGTTTTAGTGAGCTGTGTTCACTCTAAATGTTTACAAGCAGAGCCAACGATTTTAAACGTAGGGGGGGGGGGGGGGAAGGAAGGGGGGGGGGTTATGGTCCTTAACGAGCTACTTATAGTGTTTTAAAGAAATATTTTCAGTGTCAGCGTTGGTACTGTCGAATTCACAAATTATGAATTATTGAAAATTAGAAACAACTAAATAGCGGCGTATGTTATGCCGCGGGCCGGCTCCTCCCCCATTGAGAAAGCTAGTCAGTCTCAACTATCCCCCTGCTATCTCCCCATATATGGAAGCCCATCCGCCTCACTATAGCAGTATTTTCTCCCATCTATGGAAGCCCATCCGCTTCACTATAGCCGTATTTTCTCCGATATATGGAAGCCCATCTGCCTCACTATAGCCGTATTTTCTCCCATCTATGGAAGCCCATCCGCCTCACTATAGCCGTATTTTCTCCCACAGAAAGCCCCGTTATCACATTGAGTTCCTGTACAGCTTCACGGAACACGGGAGAAAGTTCTACAAACTTTGTGACGTGGCACACGCCGTGGCGGAAGAAATTATCGCTAAAAGAAAGAAAGAATTGGTGAGTAGTGCAAGAAATTATCGCTAAAAAAGAATTGGTGAGTAAGGATAAAAATTATCGCTAAAATAAAGTAAAATAATGGTACGTATTGATGAGTGAAAAAGAACATATTGCTAAAAGAAACAAAAATCGGTAAGAGAAAGAATTTTAACAGATGTTCACTGTCTTTGTTTGAATGGCTTACTAAGTACACTTGTTAATTGCTAGATTAACATATGCACATACTATTTAAACACTATTATATTAAATTTAAAAATTAAAATGAACTACATATTAAAAAAAATGTCTGCGTTAACACTACATCTCTACTAGCTCAAAAATTAATGCGGTCTACACATTATATAATGGCAACAAAATTTATTTCCTTTTGTTTCTATTAATATACTTTCCTAACCCAGGAGAGCTCTTCTGTGCAAGTCTCTAACAGGAAGGTCAAGGATTTCTTAGACACACTTCTCACAGCACGAGATGAAGACGGCAATGGAATGACGGCGTTAGAGATACGAAACGAGGTGGACACTTTCTTGTTTGAAGGTATCTACGGCTACTGTGGTACCCATATAATTTCCTACAACTACTGGTTAGAAGGTAGCTAGTGGCTACCCAGGTACCCATGTATTCCCTTACTACTAATTAGAAGGTAGCCACAGGCTACCCCAGTACCTATGTATTCCCCTACAACTACTAGCTAGAAGGTAGCTCCAGGTACCCACTTATTCCCCTACACCTGCTAACTAGAATGTAGTAACTGGCTACCCAGGTTCCCATGAATAGGGCTGGTAAGTAGGTCACCAACCAGTTCTATGGCTCATGCAGGTTTTATTGAGCCGTAGAACTGGTTGTGACCTACTTACCAGCCCTATTCCCCTCCATCTACCAGGCCACGACACGACGGCCAGCGGGATGACGTGGACACTGTACGAGCTGGCCAAACACCCAGAGCACCAGGAGAGGATTTACGACGAGGTCAAGGACGTCTTGGACGGCAGGGAGCATCTGGACTGGTCAGTTGACTTGTTTTATTGGACGGCAGGGAGCATCTGGACTGGTCAGTCGACTTGTTTTATTGGACGGCAGGGAGCATCTGGACTGGTCAGTCGACTTGTTTTATTGGACGGCATTAAGTATCTGGACTGGTCAGTTGACTTGTTTTATTGGACGGCAGGGAGCATCTGGACTGGTCAGTCGTTTTGTTTTATTGGACGGCAGGGAGCATCTGGACTGGTCAGTTGACTTGTTTTATTGGACGGCAGGGAGCATCTGGACTGGTCAGTTGACTTGTTTTATTGGACGGCAGGGAGCATCTGGACTGGTCAGTCGTTTTGTTTTATTGGACGGCAGGGAGCATCTGGACTGGTCAGTCGACTTGTTTTATTGGACGGCATTAAGTATCTGGACTGGTCAGTCGACTTGTTATATTGGACGGCAGGGAGCATCTGGACTGGTCATTCGACTTGTTTTATTGGACGGCAGGGAGCATCTGGACTGGTCAGTCGACTTGTTTTACTCACCTTCATCCTTAAACTTAATCTTATTTTCACAACAATGTATGTAAAAATCTCGATTTCGGTTCTGGGAAGTCAAACCGCTAGACATTTTTGAGTCCACCAGCTCTGATGGGTACCCAACTCACAGTATGGAACTAGCCTTTATATGCCGAGGTCACTGAAACAGGTGAATTCGAATTGATCTGCCCAATGTGTCTGTGGGCACTTGCGAAAAAATAATGATGTGTATGCTAGTTAGAAAGACAATATTATGACCCACTATTAGTTATTACACTATTAAGAAAGTTGAACGTATTGTGATGTATTCTTCAGGAATGATCTACCAAAGCTGGAGTTCACAACGATGTGCATCAAAGAGGGACTGAGGCTCCACTCAGCTGTTCCATTTATCGAGAGGACTACGGTAGAAGAGTGCGAGATTAATGGGCATGTACTTCCGCCAGGTAACCATGGTTTTCTCGTGTAAACAACTGTAATTTAATTTTAGGAAAATGCAAGCAGTCAGTAAATCTCTTTTTAAATCTAACTTAGCTGAGTATGTAAATAAACATATTACGTAAATAACTTCTGAGCACTAAGAAAAATCTTTAACACAATTATACTTCTCATACACATTCATCTTATAGGGACCAGAGTTGCAATCCAGCTGTGGATACTACACCACAATCCACACATTTGGGAGGATCCACACGTTTACAACCCAGAGAGGTTTCACCCAGACAACCAGGCCAACATGGATCCGTTCCAGTTCCTTCCGTTCTCCGCGGGGTCAAGGTCAGCCTCAGCTTTTAATTAGGTTATCTGATGTGTACGTGGCTGAAAGGTTCAATATCCAATCATGAGCTATACGCTAGACTTGAGTGCGTTGTTCTTTGCCCTAGTGGTGAAGCAATCTATGCAAAGATAAATCTTGATTCGACTTTATATCCACAGTCTACTTTTTGAACTCGTTTTTATCAAGAGTTCAAAAAGTAGATTATTAGTCTATGAAATAGGTCAGGTATTGGGGATGTTAAAATGTTAAAATATTGAAATGTTAAATTTTGAAATGTTAAAATTTTGAAATATTAAAAATGTCAAATGTTAAAAAAAAAGTTAAAAATGTTAAAATTGTGAAATGTAAAAAAAAAATGTTAAATATTAAAATTTTTAAATTTTTAACAGAAACTGTATAGGCCAGAACTTCGCTATGAATGAAATGAAGACAACAATAGCCAGAATAATTAGCAAGTAAGTTACATTTTTGTTGCCAAAACTGGAAAATTTATTTGTTGTCACATAATAGAAGTATAGCTGCACTTTGTTGCAATATATTTCATGATTTTGAAAAAAAAATACTTTTAACAGCCTTTTAGATTTGGATATAAAAAACAAGTTAATAAAAAGTCTAGTGATAATTTAAGCGCAATTTCCTTATGTTATCCGTAACAATTTTTTATTTTTTGTGACCGAACGAAAGGATATTTTTTTGCGCTAAAAACCTACACGATGCTCAGTTTAAATTAAAAATATCATCCTAGGCCTATACGATGCTCAGTTTAAAAAATCTTAATTAATTTTTTGTGACCGAACGAAAGGATATTTTTGAAAACTTTCTTCGGCAATATTGTTCTAAATTATGGCAGGAATCGATTGGTAAATGTTTCAAGTCGCTAAGTGGTCTGGTTGCCGAGATATGGACCAAAAAACTGCCTTTGTTCGAGGTTTTTTGGCTTTTCCGGGAAATCCAGGAAGGAATTCCGGGAATTTTTTTGGCCCACAATCATCCTTGGAACTTGCTTAACATATTTGCCTTGGAACTAGTCCTCGATATTGCTTCGTTGAGGAGGAGATACATCCAGAAATGACGAGTTAATAATCGCAATTGTCCGTATGGAAATTGCGCTAAAAAACAAGTTCGAAAAGTTTAAAGTTTATTATTCAAATACATAACTAGAAAGTTATTCTTTTTCTTTTGAACTTAATGTTACGTCTTACTATACTATTTATTCGATCTATCTTCAGATTTAAGCTATCTGTGGATCAGAAGAATGAAGTACGGCGAGTACCTATCGTCACCATGAAGCCAGAAAATAAAGTCTTGCTGTTTGCTTCAGCCAGGGATTAGCAATATATGTGACGGGGTAGCATTGTGAGAGGGTAGCACTGTATGGCAGGAGGTAGCTCTGTCTGACAGATGGTAGCACTGTCTGTAAGAGAGTAGTATTTTTTCAGCATTGTTAGAGGTAGCATTGTTAGACGGCAGTACTGTCTGTCAGTGGGTAGCTTTGTTAGAGTGTAGCACTGTGTCAGAGGGTAGCACTGTCTGTAAGAGGGTACCACTTTTTTCAGCATTGTTAGAGTTAGCATTGTTAGAGTGTAGCTTTGTTAGGGGTAGCATTGTTAGAGTGTAGCTTTGTTAGAGGTAGCATTGTTAGAGTGTAGCTTTGTTAGAGTGTAGCATTGTTAGAGTGTAGCATTGTTAGAGTGTAGCTTTGTTAGAGGTAGCATTGTTAGAGTGTAGCTTTGTTAGAGGTAGCATTGTTAGGGTGTAGCTTTGTTAGAGGTAGCATTGTTAGAGTGTAGCTTTGTTAGAGGTAGCATTGTTAGAGTGTAGCATTGTTAGAGTGTAGCATTGTTAGAGTGTAGCATTGTTAGAGTGTAGCATTGTTAGAGTGTAGCATTGTTAGAGTGTAGCATTGTTAGAGTGTAGCATTGTTAGAGGTAGCATTGTTAGAGTGTAGCTTTGTTAGAGGTAGCATTGTTAGAGGTAGCATTGTTAGAGGTAGCATTGTTAGAGGTAGCATTGTTAGAGGTAGCATTGTTAGAGTGTAGCATTGTTAGAGTGTAGCATTGTTAGAGTGTAGCATTGTTAGAGTGTAGCATTGTTAGAGTGTAGCATTGTTAGAGTGTAGCATTGTTAGAGTGTAGCATTGTTAGAGGTAGCATTGTTAGAGGTAGCATTGTTAGAGGTAGCATTGTTAGAGTGTAGCATTGTTAGAGTGTAGCATTGTTAGAGTGTAGCATTGTTAGAGTGTAGCATTGTTAGAGGTAGCATTGTTAGAGTGTAGCATTGTTAGAGTGTAGCATTGTTAGAGGTAGCATTGTTAGAGGTAGCATTGTTAGAGTGTAGCATTGTTAGAGTGTAGCATTGTTAGAGTGTAGCATTGTTAGAGGTAGCATTGTTAGAGGTAGCATTGTTAGAGTGTAGCATTGTTAGAGTTTAGCATTGTTAGAGGTAGCATTGTTAGAGTGTAGCTTTGTTAGGGGTAGCATTGTTAGAGTGTAGCATTGTTAGAGTGTAGCATTGTTAGAGTGTAGCATTGTTAGAGTGTAGCATTGTTAGAGTGTAGCATTGTTAGAGTGTAGCATTGTTAGAGGTAGCATTGTTAGAGTGTAGCATTTTTAGAGTGTAGCATTGTTAGAGGTAGCATTGTTAGAGTGTAGCATTGTTAGAGGTAGCATTGTTAGAGTGTAGCATTGTTAGAGTGTAGCATTGTTAGAGGTAGCATTGTTAGAGTGTAGCATTGTTAGAGGTAGCATTGTTAGGGTGTAGCATTGTTAGAGTTAGCATTGTTAGGGTGTAGCTTTGTTAGAGGTAGCTTTGTTAGAGGTAGCATTGTTAGAGTGTAGCATTGTTAGAGGTAGCATTGTTAGGGTGTAGCTTTGTTAGAGGTAGCATTGTTAGAGTGTAGCTTTGTTAGGGGTAGCATTGTTAGAGTGTAGCTTTGTTAGAGGTAGCATTGTTAGAGTGTAGCATTGTTAGAGTGTAGCATTGTTAGAGTGTAGCATTGTTAGAGTGTAGCATTGTTAGAGGTAGCATTGTTAGAGGTAGCATTGTTAGAGTGTAGCATTGTTAGAGTGTAGCATTGTTAGAGTGTAGCATTGTTAGAGGTAGCATTGTTAGAGGTAGCATTGTTAGAGTGTAGCATTGTTAGAGTTTAGCATTGTTAGAGGTAGCATTGTTAGAGTGTAGCTTTGTTAGGGGTAGCATTGTTAGAGTGTAGCATTGTTAGAGTGTAGCATTGTTAGAGTGTAGCATTGTTAGAGTGTAGCATTGTTAGAGTGTAGCATTGTTAGAGTGTAGCATTGTTAGAGGTAGCATTGTTAGAGTGTAGCATTGTTAGAGTGTAGCATTGTTAGAGGTAGCATTGTTAGAGTGTAGCATTGTTAGAGGTAGCATTGTTAGAGTGTAGCATTGTTAGAGTGTAGCATTGTTAGAGGTAGCATTGTTAGAGTGTAGCATTGTTAGAGGTAGCATTGTTAGGGTGTAGCATTGTTAGAGTTAGCATTGTTAGGGTGTAGCTTTGTTAGAGGTAGCTTTGTTAGAGGTAGCATTGTTAGAGTGTAGCATTGTTAGAGGTAGCATTGTTAGGGTGTAGCTTTGTTAGAGGTAGCATTGTTAGAGTGTAGCTTTGTTAGGGGTAGCATTGTTAGAGTGTAGCTTTGTTAGAGGTAGCATTGTTAGAGTGTAGCATTGTTAGAGTGTAGCATTGTTAGAGTGTAGCATTGTTAGAGTGTAGCATTGTTAGAGGTAGCATTGTTAGACGGCAGTACTATCTGTCAGAAGGTAGCACTGTCTGTCAGAGGGAAGCACTACTAGAGTGTAGCACTGATTAGCAGTAGATAACACTGTAGGTATGAAGGCAGCACTCCAATAGTTTAACACAGACAGATGGCTATTATTTGACAGATGGTTGTACTATTTGACAGATGGTGCATTATTTGACGGATGGTTGCACATATTGACAGATGGTTGTACTATTTAACAGATGGTGCATTATTTGACGGATGGTTGCACACATTGACAGATGGTTGTACTAATTGACAGATGGTGCATTATTTGACAGATGATTATACCAATTAATAGATAGTTGCAATATTTGACAGATGGTTACACTATTTGAATGATGGTTGCACGATTTTACAGATGGTTGGACCATTCGTGCAACCATTTGACTGATGGTTGCACGCATTGACAGATGGTTGCACGATTTGAGAGATGGTTGCATTATTTGACATGTGGTTGCACTATTTTACAAATGGCTATACATTCTTCCAAATGATAAAAACATCTGCTAGTCAACATATTCATCTATTCCAAATAATTTAACGGCGTACTTTAAACTATTTTTATAAAATAAATCTTATAAAATGTATGCTTTTATATACTGAGTTAGATGTTAATAAAATTTATTTTACAATTTATGTAGTTTAGTTTTGCATATACATTAAATTTTAACATTTATACTTTATGCCAAATTCGGGTGGGGGTCTACTTGATATGAGCTACGGATTAGGATCGCATTTTTAAAAAAATCAAAACATTGTGATTTAGCAGCTTTCAACAATACATGCAGTTTAGCTTAAAAAAACGTGTAAAGAATCGAGTTGCAAAGACAACTGTTTAAAGCGCTTTAAAAAATCCTTCGGTCTAGTATGCGGAATCTAATTAGAGGCTGTATGCAAATGTATGCAAAAACATTCACTTTGTTAATAAGAGCGACACATATCTACACAATTACTGAATTAAAACATTAATTATCGAACTTCTGGTGTTCACTTTATATATAATAATTAATGTTAGCGGGTAGTATTGTTACAGTGTAGCATTAAAAATCTTTCAAATATAAAACCAATTTTTTCGTTGATTTACAATTTTTACTTTCTTATATATACGAAGTATAGAGAAAGTCTTGTAATAGTGCAAAAAAAAATCGAGATTTTTACAACTCTCGCTGTTTTACACTTCATTGATACGGAAAAACATAATTTTGCAATCTTGTCCGTATGTCTGTGTGTCTGTCTGTGTGTCTGTCTGTGTAAACACGATAACTTGAGTACCTTTACAGCTAGGTTGAAGACATTTCATATATAAGTATTTTATCAAAATCGTAGATCCGTATCAACTTTGAGCAATTTCCGATAACCGTAAGTGGTACTTTTTTCACTTTGAATTTTTCAAAAGCCTTTAACTTGAGTACTATTTCAGATAGATAAATGAAATTTCACACGTAAGTAAAAGATCTAAACCTCTTCCTTTTCTTAAATTTTGAGTAATTTCCGTTGTCCGGAAGTAGTAATTTACGCTATTTCCGATTTCTCAAAAAACGCTTGTAAATTTATAAAGTACTAATAATATTCCGCACTATTATGCACATTTTGTTTTGGCATTCGCTTGGTGCGCAATTCTTTTTTCTCTGAGATTCTATTCTTTTTAAAAAAAGTTTAAGTATTTAAAATGGATTAAAAATCATAACTATATCCCTTGTTCCCATCCCCTGTTGTTTTATATAGAATATTCGAGAAAGTTTAGGGGAGATCACTCACGGTTTATTGTGAACATTTTGCTCCAAACAAGGCTCTGGATTTTAAAGTAACTAAACGTCACATAAATGTCACATTTGAAAAACATAGGTCTACATACATCTGTATTTAATATACCCAGCGTATGAAAACAGATTAGATGAAAATAACTTGTTATTTTAAGAGATTACAACCTTTAGTTCTCCATCTTAGTAAGCGCATGGAAGGGATGTTTGGTCTCTAGTGCCACATATTACGACCATAACATTTTGATACTTTAGAATGCCGTAAGATTAAGTAGTAAAGTCTATATAGTTTTAGCATTTGTATTACACTACGCTACTTTCCTAGCCTAGCGATGCTACTATCATAGCCTATCGACGCTACTATAACTACGCTGTTGTCCTACTCTAACTACGCTACTGTCTTACAACCCTCCTACTGTTTGAAACGCCTCCTCAAAGAAAAATGTCTCATAGAAACTCTGCACGCGACGGCTCTGTTATTAAATTATTAACTATGAATCTCAATTTCGTATTACACCTGTTTGAACTAGAATCTGTAACATATTGTGACATTAGAGACTCAAAAGCGATCAAGCTAAGTTTGTTTTTTGAAATGTATGCAGGTCGACGTGTTGTGTGTTGGGTAAGAGTCAGGATTTTAATTTATTCTTTGCTATTTGTTTAATGAATTAAATTAATGAACCATTTTAAAAAAAAATTACTGGGGTTTACATTTTTATTGGAGTTGTTGAGTCTGGCTCAGGCTTGTGTAGCTGTAGTGTTTGGTTGCATAGCAGCAGGATTATTTACGGTAACAGGTTATCGTTACATGGCAGCAGGCTAGTTTCAAATAGCTGCAGGTTTGGTTTAGTTGACTGCAGGTTAGGTTTATTTGGCTACAGGTTAGGTTTAGTTGGCTGCATTTTAGGTTTAGTTGGATGCAGGTTAGGTTTAGTTGGCTTACAGGATAGGTTGGTATGGATGCAGGGTGTCCTTGCAAGGCTTCATCATCATAATTTTTCCTTTTGTTTAATAAGGCCTATATCAGAGCTTTCCACGCTGCTGCCACTCTTTTCAGCTGTTCCCAATACCTCCCTTTCCTTTAGCCTCCTCCGGCACGCTATGTCGCCATGTCTTCTTGGGTCGACCCCTGCGTCGTTTGCCTTGAGGGGTTCCACTCCAAGGCCTGCCTGGCTCTATTGCCAGCGACCTTTATAAGCGTGAGCCCAACCCAACCCATCGCCTTTGTCTTTCCCCTGTTATTTCCTGTCCACACATCTCCCATAGTTTCTCGTTTTCTACCTTGTCTTGCGCTTTTAATTTTAAAATACTCGTTAGGCCCCTATTAGTAAAATTATTTTTGTTGTTGCCTCTTTTGTTTTCCATATATTTCTGCAGCCATACCATCAAATCAACATCTGTACCCATATAATCAGCAATATAGACCAAACATCTTAATACACATGTTTTGTTGTGTTTTTTTTAATCGGCTCCAGTTGATATAAAGAAAATAAAAACAACGGTCCAATGTTTTCACGTTGAAAACAATGTTTTAAAATGTCGCAAAGGCTTTCTTGTCGTTTTTGTGTCATTTGGGTTTGTTATTACTAAACATCAGGCGAAGAATTTCGCAAATGAAAAGAAAAAAACAAACAAAAAAAACTATCGTTTTACATATTCCTTACAGTGTATTAAAGCACACGAACAGAATAAAAAAGATAGGTACAACATACCAACAGTTTATTAATATTAAAGCCCAATGATGTATTTAATGTAATGCTATATTTAAGCCCAATGAAGTATTAAAGCCCAATGATATATTTCATTCCAATGATGTGTTAAAGCTCAATGGTATATTTCATTCCAATGATATGTTAAAGCTCAATGGTATATTTCATTCCAATGATGTGTTAAAGCTCAATGGTATATTTCATTCCAATGATGTGTTAAAACTCAATGGTATATTTCATTCCAATGATGTGTTAAAGCTCAATGGTATATTTCATTCCAATGATGTGTTAAAGCCCAATGATGTATTAAATGATTATTTAACTCTAATTAATTACATATACCATTAAAGCGGAATAAGACTTACTCGGCCTTTGAACATGTAACGGCTTAATTAAGAATTGATTTTTTTAAAATTAATAACAACAACACGCGATTTGAATAAAGTAATTGTTTCGCTCGTATGACCGTATATTTATTTACACGTGCTTAGTTTAATTAATTTTTGTGTTTTCACTCAAAACAAAACAAACAAGTTCACATATTCGTTTACTATAAATAGCCAAGCAAATCGCCAGTAATTTAAATCATTTGTTCGAAAGAAATTTCAGGTAACTTATGTGTTGTTTTGCGAACTAGTCTAACTTAATGTGTGAGTTGTTAAAAAAAGTGTTAATTTAGTTTAAAACGTTACTGATATAAGATTTTGGAAAATTAACACATTTTAAGTAGGTGTGATTTTTTTTTTAACTTAACTTGTTCAAAGAAGATGAGCGAGTTATTAAAAGAAGTTGTTAATTTGATTTAAAGCGTCCATTTTATGATTTAAGACAATTAAAAACTTAACTTTATGTGAAAAAATTTTAACTTCATTTTCGCTAATTTGAAAAAAAATCTAGCAGTTAAATGCTGTTTTGTAACTATAACTTCACTCTCACTAGCGTGAGTTAGGTACCGTCATAGCTTGGTGAACTCAGGGGCGTTCTACTGACTTGAACCCGGGTTCGAACTCGAGATTTTCGGGTTAGCAGTCTAACGCTCTACAACTCAGCCATACTGTAAATAAATGTTGGGTTAATACAAATTTATTATTCCAGAAAATGTTGTCCTACTCTCAAGTTAAAGCACTAGTTTTCTTGGTGTGTGCGGTCGGTGTGTACTCTGATTGCCGAGAAGAAGACTGGAGTGCCAGCTTTGATTTCCAAGGTCTGTCTGAGTGCAAGCGACCCGGTGACGTCATTTCCGGGTTTTACCGAAGAGACGCCGACGCGGTGGGCGATGGTCTCCGGAAACTTGACACAGTTGAATGCTGCTCAAAACCGGCTCAGTGGAAACTTAGCGTCGACTATGTCGTGGCTAACTGGTGGAGCGTATTAAACAAACCTAACACCTGGGCTACCTGTCAACCTGGGCATTTCCTGGCCGGACTCTACAGAACTCTGGCCAACAACGAGCTGAGCGATATTGAAGAAGGTCGGTGTATTAAAGCGGGAGATCACCCCGACAGCTACGGCGAATGTTCGGATGTTGACATAAGTTCCTGTATTAAGAAAGCCGGATGGTGCAAGTGCCCTGATGAGACGTATGTTGTCGGCATATATCGGGGTAGATGCAATGACTTGAGCTGTCTGGTCAAGCTACGTTGCTGCAAGTTCGCTGAAGCGTAACGCATCCGATTTGTTTGTTTTTTCTGACACTGCAAATAAATAAATATAAAGCTCACTTTAAACATCAGAGAGTGGAAATATGTAAAACTATTATTAAATGAGGCAATATTTCACCTTAAGTTAGAACAGATTAGCGTAGTATAGTATTGTTATCTCAATAAATAATAAAAAAAAATAAAAGAGGAGAAATAAAACAGAACATTCATATATTGTTAAAATTGCGATTTTTAAATATAAATCTTAAATTATATATGTATCCTTATTTTTTTTAGATGCAGTGTCATTTAAATTAAATAAAAATATAGAAGACATGTTTACAAATTCTCTGTTTTATTGAAGTTGTGTATTTTTGTCATAAAACGTGATTAAACCATATAGCACGGGTGAAATACCCACCGGTCTACCGGGGAAAATTCCGATAGTCCTATAGGAAAAAAACGTTGTTGATTTCCTTGGAAAACAAACTTGGTGGTCACCCTGAAAAAAAAAATCTTGGTTGTTTCCCTTGAAAAAAATCTAAGTTGTTTAACTGGACACAAATCGTGGTTGTTTCCCTGGAAAAAAAATATTGGTTGTTTCCCAGTAAAAAAAATCTTGGTTGTTTCCCTTGAAAAAAAAATCTAAGTTGTTTAACTGGACACAAATCGTGGTTGTTTCCCTGGAAAAAAATATTGGTTGTTTCCGAGTAAAAAAAATTTTGGTTGTTTCCCTTGAAAAAAAAATCTAAGTTGTTTAACTGGACACAAATCGTGGTTGTTTCCCTGGAAAAAAAATATTGGTTGTTTCCCTGGAAAAAAAATCTTGGTTGTTTCCTTTGATAATGCATTGTTAGGTAAATTACAGCTTATGTGGTGTGTCCACAAAAATTACATAATTAGCAGGGATTAAGTGCAATGTTGTTGGTATTTTTAATACTGCCTTTTATTTATTCCATACACTAAACGTACTGTTTTCTTATTATTATTTTAAATAAAAAAAAAACAGGTGAAGTAACAAAAGACATCTTTATTCGGGAACGGAAATTCCCGCAGGTTATTTTTGTCTTTGTCTGTCTTTTTTTTCCGCACGAAAGGGAATTTTTTTACCTCACCATAATGCGTACCCTTTTTTTAAGCAGACGTTTTAACAGTACATTTAGCAGTGTAAAGTTTTACTACGTTCTCGATTGTAAAGGCAAGATCGAAGAAAAAAAAATCTTTTAAGAGTTATGTTTATGTTTTAAAGTTTCCATCAGATGAACACAAATATTTAAAAAAAAAATCAATAACAGTTTAGAAGCAAGCTCCTAAATGTCCTCTATGTTTACCTTTATCTATTGTCTTTAACTGAGCCTAATCCGGGCGTACTTCAGTGCCCTGACAGTGTTTTTTGGCGTTCCGGGTCTTCCCGTGTTCGCGATGGCCCCTACGTTCGTCTAAGGACTAGCGCAAAGGACTAAGAATAAGTTGGGGTACTATAGTCGTTTACTAAGTTGAATCAGGCGGTTCCGCCGGCGCCCCGGGCTAGAATATGAGTACTTTCCGTCTGTTTGCGTTTTCTTCGTGTTTGAGTTTGGGTATGCGTTTGTGCTTGTGTTTGTGTTTGCATTTGGATTAGGGGTTTGTTTTCGTTTGCTTTTTTGTTTGCTTTTGTGTTTTCTTTGTGGTTGTGGTTGTTTTAGTGTTTGCGTTTGTTTTTGTGTTTTCGATTGTATTTATATTTGTAAATTTTAAAACGAAAGCTATGCTTTTAAAATTGAGATCTATTATCGTATATGTTGATAACTAATCAATAAAATTACAACATTTTTTAAACGAAAGCTTCTGTTTTTTTAAATTGAGATCTATCATCGTATATGTTGATAACTAATCACTAAAATCATTACAATTTTAAAACGAAAGCTATGTTTTTAAAATTGAGATTTACCATCGTATATGTTGATAACTAATCACTAAAATACAAACATTTGTAAACAAAAGCTATGTTTTTAAAATTGAGATCTATCATCGTATATGTTCATAACTAAACACATTTCAAGGACTTTACGTTGATTTGGTTTTCACGATACAGCTTCAACTTTAGATATTCACTGGGCCCGCTGTCCATGGTCCTTTTCATGCTATTTAAATCTTAACGTTTCTCAAATATATCAAGTTAGATCGCTGTTGTATTTTTAGTCACATGATTCCAACTTAGGTAGATTTTCTTGCCACGCTGCTAGCACTATTGGGTTATGCTGCCTAATCTGAGTTGAATTTTGTTTAGCCTGGACTGGCTTGCAACAATACATTATGACATATCATCAGAGTTTACGATTGTTTAGGGTAGCCTCGCTAGCACCAATGGTCGAACACAGTTAATCTGAGTTTACTTTAATCTAGACTGGCTAGCACCAATGGACATCTCATCCAAGAATGTTTCTCAAGACACGCCAAGAAAATGTCAGACTGCCGACTGAGGCGAGCTTCATGTCACATTCTGTTAGTGCCGGTAACGACCGAGTAAACAAATCTCTCTCTCTCTCTATATATATATGTATATATATATATATATATATATATATATATATATATATATATATATATATATATATATATATATATATGCATCTCTCTGTTTGTAGAATTTGTTGTCAAGAAAAATTTGCAGGAATTACAGAACTAAACATTGACACAGACAGTTGAATTTGTTGTCTAATATAATTAACACTTGTATTTTGGTGTGTAGGTTACCTGTACACTCTCCCTGCCAATGCAAGGAAATAAATAAAAATATATTTATATAGAAGTTGTAGCTAAACCTTTGTTCTCCCTACTCCTTTAAGAAAGTTTCTATAGCCTGCCCCTGACGTGGAGAAAAAAATATTTGAAAGAAACCCTGCTTGTAGTAATCACTTGGTTTTAATTAAAAATATGTGACTTATCCATTCTTCGTCAGGTTACATTGCAGCATTGCTAATCACGATATGCGAGACATTATTTTGCTGAGTACACAATACTTTTAACTACTAGATAGGCAGGTGAATTATATATGTCTCTGAAACCTGATTTAGACCTAGTTAACATCAGATATGTTAAACAGTCTATCTTCCATGATGACTGTAGTAAATTATAAGCTTGAAATAAACGTATCCACTCAACATTCAAACATGGTTGCAATTGACACCATGGAAAATAAAAAACAGAAGCAAATGAAAGTGTTTGAAACATACTTTAATGTTAGAATTTTAAAAGAACCAAAGTCAAACATATGTTAACAAAATAAATATCATCTTTGTTGGTCGGACACCGACCTATGGAAATCACATCAATCTGTTAACAAGACACCAGCCTGTTAACAAAACACAAATCTGACGACAAGACACAAATCTGACGACAAAACACCAATCTTTTGACAAGACATCAATTTGCTGACAAGACACCACCAATCTGCTTACAAGACACCAATCTGTTGACAAGACACCAATCTTTTGACATGACACCAATCTTCTGACAAGACACCAATCTTCTGGTAAGACACCAATCTGCTGACATGACACCAATATGCTTACAAGACACCAGCCTGCTGACAAGACACCAATTTGCTGACATGACACCAATCAGCTGACAAGACACCAATCTTTTGACATGACACCAATCTTCTGACAAGACACCAATCTTCTGGTAAGACACCAATCTGCTGACATGACACCAATATGCTTACAAGACACCAGCCTGCTGACAAGACACCAATTTGCTGACATGACACCAATCAGCTGACAAGACACCAATCTTCTGACAAGACACCAATCTTCTGGTAAGACACCAATCTGCTGACATGACACCAATCTTTTGACAAGACACCAATATGCTTACAAGACACCAGCCTGCTGACAAGACACCAATTTGCTGACATGACACCAATCAGCTGACAAGACACCAATCTTCTGGTAAGACACCAATCTGCACGCATACTCATATTTGATGTGGAGACAACAGTATGGAGCCTCCAATCAATGTAAACCTACTTACAAGGCATCACATCTCTATAGATGATCAAGTTTTCAATTAGCCAACGGTAACATGAATGACCTACTATAGTAAACACGTCGCATGATCTAACATAAGGCAAAGCATAATATACACATATAGGGCCTATACACTGCTAGTGGGTACAATTTTAACATTGTGTATTTAAGTACCAATTTACAGCAGCAGGCTTGTAACAAAATGTTAACCACAACATTAACAAGTTGTGACTAAATGGATAGGCTACACGAAACTAAAATCCATATAAACGAAAACCTAATACAAACAAAATTATGATGTGAGTTGACATCCTATTCCATTGCGGACGTAATGGGAAAATTGTGATGACAAACCAAGGAGCTAGTCGGGTGTTTTACAACGTTGTCGCAACTTTGGGGCATAATATTTAAATAGACTCGGGTGTTTTAAAACGTTGACGCAACTTTGGAACAGAAAGTTTGAATAGACTCGAGTGTTTTAAAATGTATTCTGGGTGCACTTTGATCTCCGACAACAAAACATCTAAAACAGCTTTTTTCTTGCTGGTACTGGTGCCCTTTAGCTTAGTAGATGAGAGCAATTTATCAGCTGTTTCTTTAGAACATTTAAGTCTCATTTGTAAATATTCACTTTTTGTTTTGCAGCCTTCTAAAGCAACAAGATCTGCATTCAATCTCTTGTAAGTTCCATTTTTCTCACACAGCTCTAAGTAGTTATCGACCGGAATACCTGCAGCCTGCATGAAATCCCATATCTGTTTTAATCTAGGCACAGAATATTTAAACAGTTTTCTATGCACAATTACATACTCTGAATTTAGTTTTGCTTCGTTAAGAAAAAAGTCTAAAATACGTATCAGTTTATGTGTTTTGATGTTACTCAGATATAGACAAGATGACAGATAATTAGCTGTTCTTTCGTCACATTCAAGTCTAATTTGGAGATACTCAGATGGACAAATGCATCCGTCTAATGCATCAAGCTCATCACATATGTTCTTGTATCCTATATCAAATGTCTTGCGACTCCATCCCAAACATTTCAAAACTTTGTCCTGACTTCTGACAGGATTGTCAGTCAACAAGGACCTAGCCTGTAACAGCTCCAACCTCCTGTTGAGTTCCTCGTGTGAATAGTACAGAGGTCTTGGATTTTTAATGAACAGAGACAAAGGTAAATTGTAGGACAACAGCAAGTTTACTTTTTGCTCAAGGAGTGGTAAAGACATGGTTCCCAAACGTGGATGTTGAGAAATAAGTGAATCAACATCCTTTTGATTGCAGC